TATATATATATATATATATATATATATATATATATATATATATATATTGCATTTACAAATGTTTTCTATTAAAATAGTTTTTTCAAATTCTTCAGAAACATTCTTGTTGAAATCTATTTCAGCATATTTGCAGTTTAGGCTTTGTCAGCTATCATTTTGCTATGTTTATCTTTTAGCTTATTTTGCTTGTCTTTTAGCTACATTCAGCGCTTAACTTTTAGCTACCATATTGCTTTATTCAGCTACCACTTTTCTCCCTTTAGCCTTTGACTATGGTTTTGCTCCTTCAAGCACTCTGCTTTGTTTAGGTTTTAGCTACTATTTTGCAACTTTTAGCTTTTGGTGACAAATTTTACTCTATTTTGCCATTTTTTTTGTTCCATTTCGATTTGCGTTAATATTAGCTACTTTTGGCTACCACTCAGCTTAGCATTTAGCTTCTGTTCTGCTTGTTTTACCTTCGACAACTTCACTTCAGCTTTCGGCAAACTTCAGCTAGGTCATTCAGCTGTCAGCGGAGTGTTTCGCTCCCATCTTTAGACCGACAGTTAAAAGAACTTTTCACACCATTTTCCTTGTAGCTGCTGAAAAGACTGATGCTCCTTTACCTTTGTTTTGTAACCCTTTCTGGTCAGAAAAAACAACAGAACAATATTCAAACTGACAAGGTGGCATTTTAATCAATGTATTGTTGACATAGTAAGTTATGTTTGTTAAAATATCAGCAGATCGGGGAAAGAATTCGGAACAACCAACATATACATACAATTAAAGAAAATAAAAGTATTCACAAACGTTTGGTGTCATCCATTTCACAAGGCATTCATACAGGACTACGTTCTCTCACACACAGCTTGACAATCACACCTCCAGTTTTGTCAAGCCATTTTGGATATTCTTCTATTAATACAAAAATGGTCATTCTGGCAAAAAATAAAATGATCTAATAATATGATCACTAACCCGCCCTCTGGTTTCAGACAAACAACTTGTTTTATGTACAAGTGAGAAGGCAGTATGGCCGTGCCGTTTGTAAATAAAGACGTGGTATTTCTGACCTTTTTTCCTTCTCTTTTGTCGTACAAAACAACATTTATTAGAGTTAAGAACTGAGACTGTATCAAAACATTAAAAACTAAACGCCTCTCTTAACTGGAAATAAACAAACTGGGTATTAAGACTGCAAACTAGGTGACAAAAGAGCAGCAAGGTGCAAAAACCGATGGTGGAAAATAACATCTTTAATGGCTTCTGTGTGTTTCGGAGCTAACGGGAAAAAATGGGAGTCAGTGACATCTTTTTTTTTTTTTGCCCTAAAATCCAAAATGCAGGTGCATGTGGTGAATATAAAGCCTTTAAAGACCCAATAACGCTGAATACTTAGAACGGGATAGAACAAGTGATGCAACAAATGTCAAGACCCTGATGTTTTAGCAGCTATACAGTTAGCCTTGACGTGAAACGTAGCTGGTGGAAATCACTGAAGGGAAACGGGAATGTACGATATCTGCCTAATCTCAAGGAAACCCATTCAAACAGCTGGTAAGAAATGTGACCTTCACAGTGGAACTAAAAGATAAGCCAGAGGAACCTTACGGTCTATACAGTACCGGTATACAAGCTTGTGTAAATTGCAAAGGGTTGCGAGTTTATGGAATTTTGCGGAACAGTGAACTTGATCTTTGTCAATCCGAGTTGTGAAAGGGGTCATGGGAGTTTGTCTTTCCAGTTTATATTCATTTTGTGGATCTAGCGGATGCAAACAATTGCGCTCCCCGATGCATTTTGTGGAGGGTGCTGTGGGACTGAGTTGGTTTTAAAGTATAGCTGGTCTCCGTATAACCAAAGCAAGAGATGCATCAGCGTTCCTGGCACAACATCGAGCTGTTCCCAGTGCGGGTTAGAGTCCACTTGGTTCTTGTCTCCAAACCTATTTGTGGTATAAACAGGAGGACAGTGTCATTTTTGGGAAACTAAGTGTCGCATATCTGCTTTTTTCAGTGTGTATTGGGGTGGTTCAAGCCAAATCTGAAGTGGCTGGGATGAGATCCAGCTCCTTTAAGCCTGAAGCTGAAATTCTCAAGAGGAATAGGGTAGAAGGTTTCCTCCAAATTACGGACAAGTTTTTGTCTCAAGCCTCCATGTTTTCTTCACAAGTGATGGTAGGATAGAATGGGAGATTGACTGACAGATTGGGGCAATAATCCACAGTAATGAAATTGTAGCTCCAATGTGTCAAGGCGCAGAAGAAGCTGAGCCGAAAGGCAAAACTCTTAATTTACTGGTCCATCCGTTTTAACCTTCATGACCAAAAGAATAAGAATCCAGATGGAAATGGCTGAAATGAGCTCGCTCTGTAGGCTGGCTGGGCTCAGCCTTGGAGAAGAGTTTAGGGTATGCTTTGCATCAAAAGAAACTCAGGTGGCCTAGGACGCATCCTTGGAGCCTCCCTCTGGAGGTTTTTCAGATACATTCCTCTGGAAGGAGACAATGGAGTACACCCAGAACTCACTGGATACATATCCTCTTGTCCTCTGGCCTGGAAACCCCTAGTAATCTTAAAGGAAGAGCAGGAGAGTGTCACTAGAAAATGGGATGGCTTGGTTCCACCCTGGACCTGTTGCCCCCACAAACCAACCACAGATGTGCAAATGAAGATGAATGCGGATAAAAATTCATCCTAGTTTGCACTTGCTGCTATAAGGAAAAACATCGACTGAAAAAAATGCTTCCTGTGATGTCACCAGCTCCCAACTTCTCTGAAACCTCTTATAATCCAACAGCAACAGTCAAATTATTCTACCCTGAAACAGGTCAATAAAACAAACAAAATCACCAGTGCCTAAGAAGGAGTGAAGCTAAATTTGAAACATTTGAATTAATAGATAAAAGGAACACATCTAATAAACTCATGGCAATTAAATCTAAACTTGGTCATTCTTCCAGATGGCTAAGAGTGCTTTTGTTCCTCGTGCGTTAAGGCAGCGATACGGAAAGCAACGTCCTACTGACTGAGACATATTAGTGTCTGAATTGTTTCTCGCGTTGCTTTTTCAGAAAAGACCACATCGACCATTTCTCTGCCGCAATATCCCCCATCAAAATTAAAAGCCAGCAAAATAAAAGAAAGGAAGTGTTTTATCTCCATCAACAATCACTTTTGCATAAAGGAATAATACACAGTCCTTTAAAGGAAGAAGTTGCCAATACAAACCCACATGCAAAACACACACACACACCACATACACACACACACACACACACACACACATTTCAGCCCAAAAGCAACACAATAATGTAATCTTTCATAAACACAGATTTTCATCCTCATTCCAGTGAAGATGATTTTTTAGATGTATTCTTTCTATCTTGGTCTAACACAGATAAAAGTTTAGGATTGTAAAAGATCCAATAAAAAAACCCAAAAACAAAACATGACTTTAATTCAATGAAGGGTTACAAATACGAACTTTTCATGTTGCCAACTACCAGATTGAAAAAGAACAAACATTTTAAACATCACAAATGGATAAAAATGTCTTCATTTTGAGGCAGGACTTTGGCCATCTTGATGCAAATGCACTCTGGGTAACATAATGGCAAGAAGATGATTGTTTATATATCTTCAACAATTTGTGTTGGCAGAGTAAATACTAATGAGTTTTTATAATTGAAACCTTAACTACCAATTAAAAGCAAAAAACGTGGGAAAACTCGACAATTTCACAACCCATACCGGTAATTACAGTTTAAGTGTTCCACGGTCATCTGCTACAAAGCCGAAGATAAATATTAATAATTAACTTTCAATGTTATCAGTGCACAGCAGTTTTATCATAATCGTCACTTCCTTCCTTCACATATAGGACAAAGATACATTGATTGAGATGGATTTGTTTTCGAAGCGGTTCTGTACAGAATACGTGGACAACAATAAATGGTGTGGCTTTGCTTTGTTTTTGTTTCCATCTGTCATGACCATTGGAGGTTGGATGCGTGTGCAGGTGCTGAAATCTGAAAGCCTACAAGTGGAACACAGCTCAGTTTTCTGAACAGAATCAATTAGCAAAATATCTGGTTTATCAGTGCAACCCTCTGAAATACAACCTGATGCACGAACACGAACTTGTTTACACACGTACTTAATTTTCGTTCTTGTAACAATTTGGGGGGGGATTTACCGTGGATTATGGATGTGTGAATTTTTTTAGGGGTTCTCAGAATTTGGAAGTGCACACACCTCCTATATGATGGTGATATTGGAGGCAAAAAGGTGGAGGTTTAAGAGGGGTTCTTCAGGGATGTGTGTGGGGATTTTGGAAGACTGCACTCAGTGCAGCAGCTCGTCAAGCTCACTCTCTTTAAGCTTAGCATTGTCTCTGACTTCATCAAATGTGTACATCTTCACAATCTTTCCGTTCTTAAAAACCGTGTGCAACAGGTCCTGAATAGAAACGAAAACAAAACAGGTAGAATTAGGGTAAAAAAAAAAAAAAAGGAGGGAAAAGAAGGAAAATAAGAATAAATAAAGGAAGGTGAGTAATTTTATTGAGTATTAAGGTATTAAAAGTGATTGTGTGTGCCACTGAACTCACCTCGCCATACTCCTCCAGGTCTCCTTTGCCCTCTTCCAGGGTGACAAACTCTCCATTGGGTTTCCGGTGCAGAGACAGACGGCCTTTCTTTGATCTCTTGTTGGGGTCTGCTACTGGATCCTTGAACACATTCACCTGAGTCACAGCCCAAAAGAGAAAACCGTTAAACCAACAAAAAACATACAATTCCAAATCTTAGTCTAAAAGATGAGTTTCAAGAACAAAAACCTTCCCAAAGAAATGGAAAGTCTTTAAAGGAGCTAAAGGTATGAAACTCCACCAAATAACTAACCTGGCCTGTTGGTGGTACAACCCTTGGTACTTACATGTTTTATGCGTTTCATCTGAGTACTATCAAGACTGACTGCAGCTCACATCATATTTCCTGTTTATACCAGATGGACAACCTTCATCCCAACTCAACTCTTTTTACTTAAAGCTGCACTGCAAGAAGAACTGATCTAGCTTTTAAAATATCCAAAAGGTTCATGCACATCTTTCTGGCTGACGACACAAACCACAACTGTAAAAGGGAGCAGTGACCACAACAACAAAGCATTCAGTCAGAGAAAGACAAAAAGAAACCCCAGCAGTGGTGTAACAGTTTGCGGCATCAGTACTCACCCCCAGTCCATTAGTGACCACATAGCTGCATTTGAACGAGCAGTTGAGCAGATCTCTGGTCAGTTTTTGCAATAAAGCTCCTCCGGACCCAAATGCAATGTTCTCGATGGACCACTTGTGTTGCTTCATCCCCTCCACTATCTATAGGAACAACAAAAATGTGTTGCTAATCCAACCTTCACCAAACCTTCAGTCCAACCAAGAGCTCTTACCTCTTGCAGTGTGTTGATATCAACCCCGTCTCCTTGTATGACTCTGATGTAAGGTGGCAGAACTTTATAACCTTCAGAGTTCTCCCGTGGGTGAAACTTCTTACCCAGTATCTCTAAAACCTGCCAAGATTAAAAATGCAGAAAAAATTATGAGGATGAAAATTGCTTGGCTCCAAATAAAATGTCTGACTGTACCTTTAGAACTGTATCGAGCGGGTTTCCAGAGTCTGGCCGAACCACCAGTGGAGCATCTGCACCACGGGTCTCTATCAGCCCCCGGAGGTCTTCTCCCCAAATCTTTTCGCAGGCGTTGTAGATGTCATAGCTATCGCTGACTATGGACACGGGCACGTTAGGAAACTGCTTCACAATGTGCTCAAAGGCATCCTTTTCATGGTCCTTCCCCCATGCTGTGATGGTGCTGTACAACGAAGGGCAGAACAGCTGGATTTTTGTTGTTGTTTTAACAATTGAGAGCTTTTAATTAAACCGGAAAATTGTGGCAACCACAGTTAAATACAGAAACAACAACAACAATCTAAAAAGTCATATGTACAACCAAGCTTTGGACTTTTAAAACGCAGACTAGAAACGTAGCAGCACTAATTAAACAGTTCAGCTGAGGTCAAGAGTCACAAGAAACTAATCAGGTGAAAGAAACTGTCCAGAAGAGGGCAGTGTACTGAAAGAGTTTTATAGTTTTGGCCCATTTCAGGCGGTTTAAATTGTAAATGCTTGGAACAACCTGTACAAGCCAAATCAGCATGAGAGCCACAAGAACGCCAGTATAACCTCCAACATTGGAACAGGAAATGTAACTTCTCAAGGTTACAATAGAAAGGTTTTCGTCCAAAGTTGTAAAAAGAACGGGGGAAAAAGTCCCGTGGCACAAAATCGAACCTTATCTACACGTCAAGGAGCCCGTCTATGATTGCATGAAGACGGTCAAAATCTACAGGGGACCTATGTGGTAAAAGTTATACTTTGAACAATGGTTGATATAATAAATTAGTTGAAGTGATGCTGCTCATCAGTACATTTCTTGTTTTTTCTTTATCTTTAAATGAAAATATTGTGGTAGAGAGGCTGTCATTAAAACAGTCCTTAGCTAACGGATTGCATTTCAGTATCTCTAAATATGGGTCTGAACTCCCTCAATACACACTGAAAGTTATTTTCCTCAGACCACCTTTGGAGAAGTTCTGGACCCCTTTTATTATAACAATTAGTAATGTGAATGCAACCCATCCTGAGCCAGCTGTAGGGCCTCCTACTGAACTATCACCTCAAGCATTCAGCAGAGTGAACATCTCAGGGTAGAATTAATAAAAATAAAACATCTGCTCAGCTGCTGGCTGGTTAGAATAAAAAAAAAATCAACACCTGATGGCTCTCAGTGCAATGTGAAGCAATAACTTGCCAAAAAAAGTGGCTTTGAACCATTTTAATCTCAAGGCAATAATATAGTCGATGTGTCGATGTATAAACATCATCCGACCTGCTGTCACATCCGACTGTGTGACGTGGCTGCTTTTATTGGCAGATATCTGCAAAAAAAAAAAAAAGCTTTAGGTACGCATTAACTGGACAGGTGTGAGTTTATTGGTAGTGCAAAACTACCCAACTAGTTGTGCTTCACAGATTAAAAACATTTCCTCCCATTTTACACCACCTGATACAGCAAGGTGTTTTTGCATGGGAGGGCTGACGTTTGAGTTTAACCGAATGAAACTTAGGTCCATGTACAAACATTTTGTTATGGTGAACCCCACCCCCTTTACAAGAGTCACCAAACTCTTAAGGTAACAAAACTCCCTTTTCTTTTCCTCTGCATCAAGATCAAAGTGGACGTTCACTGTGACTCCTCCCACTGAGGTGGAAACTATACTCATTTTATTACATAACAGTTTCTATGACGATCATCCCAGAATACACACTGGCGCACGAATGAACGGTGCGCTGGAGCAGCAGTAACTGCTGCCAGTGGAGTGTTACGCAGCAGCTGAGCGTGCACGAGAACGAAACAGAAAAAAGGAAGCGTGCATTTGCGCGTGAGCAGCATGATCAGACCAGAAGGAAAAAATTAAAAAGCCACCGGAGACGGAAAAGACACCAGCCAGTCAGAGACCCTCACTTCCTGCTGATCAAACCAACTATAAAAATTCACTCGAGGGTGACCGAACGTTACTGTAGTCACACTCTTTTAATTCTTACTTGTGAAAATTATAAAACAACACAGATTATTTTTAAATGAGATAATCAATCTAGCTTGAAGATAAAAGAAATGGTTTTCAAACATAGCTCTTGGTCAAAATGGGTGTATATAGATATATATGTATAGATATATATAGATAGATATAGATATAAAGGCAGTGTTTGCTATCACTACCTATATGACAATGAACGCTTGAAGCGACACCAATAAAGGCTCTGTAATAAAAACATGAGTAGGACACACAGGCAATCATCCTATTAATAAAACCTTAATAAACATGTTTGTGTGTACCTGTGCTCGGCAGCAGGTACTGAGAAGCCTGGAACTGGGTCCTTGGTGCCGTAGTACTTCTTAATGACTCCAATCCCGGCGACTGTATCTGTACCCTTGAAGTTAACCAAATGTGCAGAGGCTCCAATGCCAGCGGTCTGTAAAGGTTAAAGAGTTAAACGACAGTAAAAAAAACGTGGCGGATGCTTTGTTTTAGTCTGAGCTTTAATGTTTTAACACCAGCTGAAGCGAAGCAGGAACAGTTGGGATGTTCTGCAGTCAAAACATGGCACAAGCTGTTCGCTGACCCCGACTTAAAATCCTGGAAGACACTGTAAAATTATATTTTCAACCTGGTTCAAGTTTTACTATTATTATATTTGTTAAGGATTTGGCTTATATTTGTCATTATGCTCCTGGTGTTTTCTTCTTTTATAACTTTTGAGTTGATTTCACATTATATTTCCCTCAGTCAGTTCTTGTCATCATCAGTCGCAGCTGCCCCACTCGTCTCATCACTCCCAACTAACTTTAACTCCCACTCCTCATTAAATCATCCGGTGATCATTCTGTTTCTCCTACGTGCTCCTCGTGTTTTTGGTTACTTTTGCTGCCCTGTCAGCGGTTTTTTTTTTTTTTTGTAAGTCTGTCGTTTTTACATAATAAATTGTTTCTTTTCTTCGAGTCCTCGTGTAAAATCTACATTCTTAGTTCCTAATTTACAACAAATCCCGACAACAACTTAAAACTGTTCAGTGTCATGGATTTAGCTTGTACTCTCAGCTGTAATGTTATCTATAAAATCTGAGCCCAAAAATGAAAATACATTTGGGATCTTATGTCTGAATTACTTAGCAGAACATCATCTATACATGTTAATGTCTTTCTTTTTAGTTTTAGGCCTATTTTTGAGCTGTGCGTTAATTCCTCAACTAAACTGTTACATACAATTATGATTACAGGTTTTGATCCATACCTCTTGTGAGGACACACCCCTGTAGCCAAAGTCATGTAGTTTATACTCCAGACCCTCCAAGCTCCCAGAAGTCTCCAGGAGGTACTTGGCAAGGATCTTTTTTTGCTCTCTGGAGTTGGTTGCCACCGTGATGGGGTACCAGATCTGAACCAGGAGAGTCTGATGGAAGAAGAAAAAGAACAGCACAAATCAGCTCTACATTGTTTCTGTATTACTCTCCAGCTGGCACTTTGTGTAACTGCTACGATTCACTCATTTGCCACTTAAAAAAAAATTTATTTGATGTCTCTTTAAACATTTACAAAACAATATGACAAACATTTTGTTTACAAAACCTGGTAAAAGTCACAACAACAAGCAGAGAGGTAACTGTCTGGTCTAACTCTTCCCAGCACTCATCTGGTGTTAAAGCCTAAAACTAACAGCCTGGGAGCGATCAAAGCTGAAAACTGTGGGAAAAGTACATTCCTTGACGCTTCACGATAACTCTAAACCAGAATAAAAAATTTGAACGTCATAACAAGTGGATTATGTACATAACACTGCCTGGAAAAAGACTGAATGCACTGTTTAAACAATCTGTGAAGAGCTGCCAGTTTAGGTTTGTATCCATGTACCGCTGAGTTTAATATGTTAATTATTATTTTTTTAAGTATTTGTGATGCCAGAACCATTAAAGCTTCAGGCACTTTCAATCCTAGAAAGCTATAAAGTTTATTACATGCAAATATATAATAGGATTGTGTTTGCAATGAAAGAAACTACAGTATGTGTGTATATTAGGAGTGTGGCAGCTCGATGCTAAATTTTCTGTCAAACCTGCAACAGATTTATTGTGTTGATTGCAAACACTGTTTTGGTTAAAAAAATAATTTAAATAATGTGAGCTGTTTGTAACCAGATGTCAGGTTTAGTAAATCTGTGCTAATAGAGGAAGCATAACAGAGTTCAAGTCTAGTACAGTGTGCTAAAAGATAATCAAGGACAAAACCCCAAATCTGTTAACCTCCTTTGATTTACACTTTGTGGCAAGTTTCCACTGGACCCTAAACAGGTCACATGAAGCTCAAAATGTAAATCAAAACTCAGACTCGTGATAGCCAGAGTTCAGCCAGAGTCCACACAAACACTTATAACAGCATTTGCACTTTGTCAGAATGTTCCTTAAAAAGATACGCACTGCAAGGTCACAAAGTCCAGTAAAAAAACACAGAACAAACAAAAATAATAAAATAAATAAAAGTAAGACACAAAATCTGTACAATATTTTTCTCATACTGACAGTAATACAAAACGTGCGATCGGTTGCAAACTCACATACAAATATTTGTTGCTTCTGTTTCCAAAATGTGTGTGAGCCATTAGTTATAGATCCAGATACCTTTTTTATGTTTGATTTCATACTCTGCAGTAACTTTTCCATAATGCAAATCTTAGGCCTGTGCACTAATCTTAGCCTAAAATCAACTACTAACAGGAACTCATTGATTTGAGCACATTTCACCAGTTTTGCCCTCCCTTCACTGGCTCCCTGTACATGGCAGAATTGATTTTAAAATTCCCCTACTGACATTTGCCTTATTTTTTTTTGTCATATAAGTCGTACCTTTTTGTATAAATTTGCAAGTCCTGCGACTTAAACACCAAAGTGACTAATAAACGTTTTTCCCCCCATATTTACAAACCAATTTTTGGCTGAGATCTGACGATTTCATTCATTTTGAAATGAAAATATTAAACATTACCATTTGCAGCTGCTAGAGGGTACTCAAGAATTATGGCAAGCCAAGAGTCTCATTAAAAGGTAAAAGTGGCAATTAATGAGACACTTGTCTTGCCATAAAATGCCACCTTTGTCTCACTCCAGAACTCCTGGAGCAAACGTCAAATCAGCTGCATTTCACTGGCGAAATGCAGCTGATTTGACCATTAAAGTGCATTTATTAAGGAAAGGTTCAACTGAGACGCACCTTTGCTATAATTTTGAGCAAACAAATAATTGTTTTTAAGTGTTAATCTTGTTAAATTCTTGTTAAAGTCCTCCTGTGCATGCTACGGCAGCCGCCATTTGGCAGCCAATTGATTTTTGGCATAACAATGGTCCACATTTAAATGTGCTATATAAATAAACGTGACTTGACATTTCCGGGTGGTCAGCGGTGACGCGTAATTAGTGGTGTAACGGTACATGTGGGTGTATTGAACCGTTTCAATAAGTCATGTTCGGTTTGGTCCACGTGCGTACAGTTTCGGTTATTTTTTCACTCATTACATTTTATTAACAAGAGATTATGCGCCATGGAACTAAAGTTCCTAAGCGTGTTTCAGCACGGCGCCATTTATTGTTGCATAGCCTTGCAGCAGGCGTAGCATTAGCAGCCTAGCAGGCAACGAACAAGCCAGAGCTTGAAGACCCTTTGATCTCGTCGCGGTCTCCTGTTTGGGAACATTATGGCTTTCTTGTTAAAAGACAAGTGAACAAATCCAAAGTTGTGTGTCGACGTGTTTCACGGAGACTGGATCTGCTGCAGGCAACACATTTAACTTCAGTGTTTCCCCTACTATTATACAAGTGGGGGCGCCCCGCCCCATCAACAGAAGCGAGCGCCCCATCTACCGAACCCCACCCCCAACCGCCCGTCGGTACCGACGTAACGCTAAACTAGCGGCTTGCAATGCAGGTGCACTAGCTAAAAGCTAAAGGCAGCCTCTTCCTTCACGCTGAACGCACCCCCGCCACTCGAAAACTGTCGGTACAAACAGCGCACGGCTCAGATGTGCGTCTGTCTCTCGCCCGCACCGACACCCCCCCACCCCCCGCCAAAAAAACCCTGTAGGTTCAGACAGCGTGCGGCTGAGATATGTCAGTCTCTCCTCTCACACACCCTGCTCCAAAACTGTCAGTGCAGTGTGCGGCTGTCTCTGTGTCCCTCAAAACTGTTGGTTTAAACAGCGCGCTGCGCAGCTTAGGACGAGACTCCGTTCCACGGACGAGACGAGCGCCCCGCCATGACAAGTTATCTATTGGAAACACTGAACTTGTTAACGCACTTGAAACGACATCACCTGAATGTGAACGTCTCTTCAAGAAAGAAAAGCATCTTTGTGCAAAGACCAATAACAGCAGCATTTAAACAAGCTTTATCAGGTAATTCAGATCGGTCCAAAGCAATAACACAAGCTGTAGGAGTTTTTAAATGTTGATGCGCCGGCTTTAAGCATAAAGTTCTTGAGCCCCGCTGCCTATGACATCCATCACGTCAACACTTCAGACAAAAAGTTGTAGCAGCACTTTATGAAAAAGCTAAAACCGATATTGTCAACGAGCGCGACACCAGATTTAAAGCCCTGCCCTGATGATGATGAGCGAGAGAGAATATTCAACCACCTCGTAACAGGAATGATGACTGTGCAAGAAGAGGTATTGTTATTGTATTATTGTGATCTAATTAACTTTTTTAATTTAAAATTATAATCTTATTAACTCTTCTTTTTTTTACCTCTTTGTGTTTGCAGTCTGAGGATGTCACCGAGAGCTGAGCAGCTGAGTCTTCTTCCACTTCAGGGAATTTTTTTTATTTTTATACAAATGTATAGTTTACTTGGCATATTTCCAAAATAAAATTTTGTACGTCTTTATTTTGGTCTTTTTTGTACCAAAAATTAACAGAACCGAGCCCTCCTTGAAACTGAACCGAACCGAAATGTGATTCTAGCGTACCGTTACACCCCTACGCGTAACAGATGTGACTTATAAAGCGAAGCAACTTATGTTTTTCCCCACTTTATTAGACGTATTTGGACTGATGCGATTTACTCGGCAGTGCGACGTGTACGGCGGAAAGTACGGTAAGTGTATTAATGTCCTTGCACCCTCATGCCTCTGACCTACTTCAACCTTATGTTCCTTCTCAGGTGCTGAGATCATCTGACTAGCTGCTTTTGGTTGAAGCTCAGAGGAGATCGGACTTTTTCAGTCATGGGCCCTAAACTCTGGAACAATCTGCCCCTCAACATTAGACAGGCCACTTCACTTCCTGTTTTTAAATCTCTACTAAAAACAGTGTGATTTGTTTTAGTATTTCACTGTTTCTCATTGTTTTTGTCTTTTCATGTTCTTATTTGTAATGCTTTTAATGACATTGTGTTATTATTATTTTTTTAATTACTGATTTGATCTTATTGTTAAGCACTTTGATAACAGCGGTTTTAAATGTGCTTTATAAATAAATTTGACTTGACTAATTTGATTTTCTCCTGCACAAGAACACACCATCCTCCATGACTTCTGTCAATTTCATAGACCAAAAAGGAGGAGGGTAAGGAACAGAGGGCGTGGAGAACGAGGAAGGTTATGGGAATAGAAAACAAAACGATACGGACAGCCGTGACAAAGGAAGAGGCGGATTAGAAGTAACAGAATACGTGGCGGATAGAGTGAAAAAGAAACACTGACCTAATGACGCAGCTCAAGGACATCAGGGTGACTGCTACAGCTAAATTTACACCAGCCATGAATAATGACCCGATGTGTGTGTATAATTATATCTGCCACAGAAACTCACTAGTTGTGTGTTGTGTCCCTGGAAGTGTGTTGCCACAGTGCTCTCGGCTGTGGGTGACCTTCGTTCATCCACTTAGAAATGTCTTTACGTGGCTGTGGGACTGTTACTGCTTCAGAGCCCAGGACACGACAGACTTCTTAAAATTTTCTAGCCAGCGCAATCTTTGGGTCAAGAGCAACACGTTTATTTAATCGAATTTTAAGCTACCACTGCAAAAAAAAAAGTTTCTGAACAAATTCTCTACAATAAATCTAGTGAAAGGATATAAAATTGTCAAAAATGAAAATGTCAAATTTCAATCACTTTAGACTTTTTACTGTATTTTTTAGCCACAGTTAAAAACAACTATTCGAAGTGCATCAACTACAAACTCTTAACGACACTGTAATTCTGTTTAAGAGGAGATGAGATTTATTAAAGGAAATGCAGCCAAGCCAAGTACTTGGACTGCTTTAGGGAATAAATGCAGCTGCAGTATTATGTCCTTAAGGATAATCAACTGAGCATAGCCATCAAATGGTACTGGAAGTGCCAAATAATGAAGCTGCAGAAGGACGGTGACACGTACAGAATAAATGAAAAGTTGTTAGTCAGGAGATAAAACACTGCCTTTATGTCTTATCAGGACGCACACTGTAATTTTTTAAGTCCCTGACGAACAAAACAAACGCACCTCCACCCAGTTGGTGAGCCAGTAGCATTCAGGGTCTGTGTTCTCCACCGTGAACAACACGTTGCCTCGAGGAATGACGCTTCCTTCTGGCACAGCCTTGATTTCAATCGGCAGGTGTCCGTCGTATTTCTGCAAACACCATAAAAATCATTTTAAACAGTCTGCTTTGTTTCATCTCAGATTATTTTCATGAGGATTAGGATGTAAGGTTTATTCTAATGATCTGACCAAAGCTTCAAAACACACATTTCACACTAAAAAGAAAAGGATGGAACAAAAATGACTTGATGCTGTAAATGAATTATGTATTTTTTCCTTAATAAAGGACAAAAGTACCGTACTTTTTGCTGTATAAGTCGCACCTTTTTGCATAAATTTGCATGTCCTACGATTTATACAGCGAAGCAACGCATTTATGTTTTTTCCTCATATTTATAACCCGATTTTAGCCTGAGATCTGACAATTTCATTCATTCTGACATGGAAAATATTGAACACTAACATTTTCAGCCACTAGAGGGCGTTTGAGTAACAAGGCCAGCCAAGTGTCTAATTAATAGGTAAAAGTTGCTATTAATGAGTATTTGGCTTGCCATACAAGCCACCTTCGTCTCGCTCTGGAACTCCAGGAGCAAACGTCAAATTAGCTGCATTTCGCCACACCACCAAGGTGAAATGCAGCTGATTTGACCGTCTAAGTGCATTTATTAAGGAAAGTTAAGACTGGGACACACCTTTGCTATAATTTTGAGCAAACAAATAATTGTTTTTAAGTGTTAATCTTGTTATATTCTTGTAAAGTCCTCTCATGCACGCTCCCTCCATTTGGCAGCCAATCGATTTTTGGCACAACACCGGCCCACGTTTCCAGGTGGTCACCGGTGACGCATAATAAATGCAACTTAAACGGCGAAGCGACATATTTATGTTTTTTCCCACTTTATTAGACATATTTGGACTGATGCAACTTATACAGCGGTGCGACGTGTACAGCTGAAAGTACGGTAGTACAAAAACCTTTTTACGCTTCAAGGTTTTGATACGTCTTTAATTACCAGAATCACTGTATGAGGTCTGTACTTCTAAAAACTGTACCAGATTTCCTGATGCATTTTCAGCATGCATCACCAGCATGTACCAGATGCATGTACCAGATTTGTGTCATTTTAGCATAAATTGTGTATAAAAGTATTATGGACTGTTGATTATTATTAGACCTAACTTAACACTTTAACTGAATAAATCTCAGTAAAGCCTGCTCAAGTGATATCACATGTCACAGTGTGAGTGTTGTGAATGACTTTCAACTAATCAAATTTTGCTCATTACCTAAGAAAACGATTGAACTAGTCATTTTTTATGTTCTCTAAGGTTTGTTGGGTTCCCACCACTTCATCCCTACATCCGCTGTTTGGCCACAAATCCATCATGAAGAAAGCACCACTCGTCCATACACAATGTCTGCACAATCTCCATCCAGGAGTTTATGGCTATTTGACTAATTTATTGTTTAAAAAGCTATTTATAAGAGCTTAATATCTGAGCACATTTCCATATTGACAAACACGCCTGCAAACTTTGACCAATTGCACAACACTTGGCACGTTTGCCTGTGAGAAAAGGTTCAGCCTGGGCCTCGTGTCGAGAAGCAGCGGGCGAAGCTGCTCTGAGAACAAAATGACGTGATTTTTGTCACACAACTACATGAATGAGTGCAGACTGTACCGCTTTGGATGGAGTATGCCGGGCCCTTCAGTCTGCACATAGAAAGATAATGGATGGATAAGTTTGCTATTAGCAGAACTGTGCCCACCACTGATCAAATAATTAATTCCTGCAACTTTCATGAAAATCCTTCGTTCATGATCCAACTCAGAATATGTGATGGGCATGAACCTAAGCTACTGCTACATAATATTTTACATTAATGTTGGTAAAATAGACAGAATTACAGCTACTTTTGTGTTTTAAGGCAGCTGGCTTTGGAAGCCATCTTGAATGGGGTTGTCACCAAATGTTTTTCAGCTGTACATGTTCGTCTGATAATCACTTTTTACAAGTTTTATTATATTTCTCCAGTTGTTCATGTTGTTAACATACATGGGCATAAACATTATGGATCACCTTCCCCTTTTGGCAGTGGCCAAAGATTAAATAAAAAAAAGTAATTATAAACAAAACAAAGAAACTAAATATGTCCTTCCAAAAAACAGTCTTACCTCCAAAATGTAGTTCCAGCCTTTCTCATTAAAAACATCATCCTGGAAGTGTTCTCTGTATACCTCCTTCGCCTCCTGAATCTTCTCTGGAGTCACAACTTTTCCTGCAAAACAAAACAAAACAAAAAAAAAAAGAGAATCAAGGGAGGAGGAAAAAGCAGCATAATTACGTTAAAGCAATGGTTCCCAACCGTGGTCCTTGAGGAACACCATCCTTCATGTTTTAACTGTTTCCTTGCTTTGACACACCTGATATGAATCCATGGGTGACTAACAGGCTTCCGTAAAACTTGATGGCGTAATTAATTAAATCACTGTATCAGGTGTGTTGGAGCAGGGAAACAAATAAAATGGTGTTCCTCAAGGACCAGTGTTCAGAACCACTGCATTAGAGGCTGCCTGTGCTGGCAAAACAGTTTTGTCTACAAACACACACAATTGCCGCCAAACTCCTCGTCTGATTCGATTGGTTTTTAAACGAAGAGCTGCCAAACACAGCAAATAAAGGTGCACACAAAGGTATGAAGACATTGTGGTATTCTAAACACCTAATTTTTGACCTTTTGGGGGAAATTTATCAAAACTATTTTTGGAAACTCTTCCTCAAACGTATTGCATAGATGCATTTTCACATGCAGTAATCCATCAGAATGATCAGCTTTCTTTCAAACTGCTTGCGATAAAAGGGTCAAAATAGCCACAAGTTTTAATATTTGTCATAGTGGGACTCAGCTTTCTCTTACAACCGGATGCCTCGTATTGTAGAAAATTACAAACCACACAATTGACTCTCCAAGTACGAGGGTTAACGAAGCTCTTTAAGGGAGAACAGACGCTATCCAGGGTCGACTGGTCTTTCTCCCTGGAATAGTGAAACAGCAGCTGTCCTTTTGTCTCCTGTCCCTCTGTTGTCTCCGACACTTCTCTGCACCTCTGCTACCATGCCATGAAATCCTCTTAGGGAATAGGAGGCAGACGCTTTGTTTCCACTCCTGCCCTTCTCGATCTCTCAGGACCCCACTAACTCTTGTAAACACCAAACTTGAGTAAATTAGTGCAGATAATATTTTATATGTCTCACAGCTTAACTGCTGTTGATTACAGACTTTTAAAAACACATTTTATATTCTACATTTAGTGTAAAAGCACATTTGGACCTTCTTGTGTTTTAAGTGAATGAAACAACAGTGGCTGCAGGCTTCAATACAAAACACCTGCGTTGTGAATGCACTCCTAAACAATGCGGAGATCTTTCAATAGGTCTGGATCATAAGCATCAAAAAGGCCTCTGAAAAATGTTGTTTCATTTTTCTTTGTCATATTATAATTATAAAGCTTTTGATATGAGCGTAAATACCGAGTAAAATATAGGCTCAACAGTATTTTATTTATGAAAATGACTTATTATTTTTACCTAAATACACTGATGAGACAAAAACAGAAGAGGTGGCTTAATGAGGCTGACGCTGAGGCAGAAAAATAAATATATGTACAAAATGGGGGGGGGGGGGGGGGGGAGATAATGGTGCATGCCTTGGTATGAGGGTCACAGTTCAGCTTGGGTTTGATACAACAAGATAGACAGAAGTCAAAGGCAATTGTTATTTTTTTATTTTTATAAATAATTTAACCAAAAAAAAAAAAGAGGAAGGGGAAGATTAAAAAGCTTCCTTGGTAGTGGGGAGGGTTTAACTGTACAGACCATAAAACTCTCATGGGTTAAGTAAGAAGACAACAACAACAACAACAACAACAACAACAACAACAACAACAACAACAACAACAACATTAATAATGATAATAAAATAGAACAAAAAAATGGTAATTTGACTTTGACATGATGCAAAATAACAAAATACATAACTAAAGATCATATTCCTCATGTGAAAATTTAAAAGTAACTAGAAAAATGTGCATTTTCTATATATAAAAAAAAAGTTGTGTGCTGGGAGCTGAATAACTTTGATGAAAAAGGTCAAAGTTGGTTGACCTTAACAGCTTAACTTATTAGTTGAAATATTAATAGAAGAGGAAAAGACACAAGAAGCAGGATAAAAAGAAAAATATGGAAAAGCATAATTCACTTCAATTCAATTTAAAAATACTTTATTAATCCCAAAGGGAAATTAAAGGTTGTAGTTCATCATCTTGGTTCCTTAGAGTTGTTATAGATGCTGATGTGGGCAGGATGCATCTCTTGTAGGGGTCTGTCTTGGAGCAGATCTGAGGAAACTGGTTGCAGATGTTGATCTGTCTACTTGGATTTCTTCTTGGGCAGCAGGACCACCTGGATCTTGGGCAGAACTCCTCCCTGAGCGACGGCCTCTCCTCCCAGCAGCTTGTTGAGCTTCTTGTCATTGCAGCCATGCAGCTGTAGGAGTCAGGGAATGATCCTGGTCTTCTTGTAGTCACGAGCAACGTTTCCCACCAGCTCCAGGATCTCAGCGGTCAGGTACTCAAGCACCTATGTCAGGTAGACAGGGATGCGTGCACGGCACCTCCTTCTTTTTTTTTATTACTCGTTTGTGATTTGGGGCTGTAGCTGAGGTATTTGAGTTTTTGAGATGTTAATCAGCTGCTCCCAATTGTAAAAAAACACCTTGTTGTCATGGTTACGCAACATAAATGTCCAAAAGCAAAAATGTTTCAGTAAAAATCCTTCAAGCTGCACAGCATCCGATATCAGAGGAAATAATCATCCACAAAAAAAAAAAAAAAAAAAGCGATTTACATCCAGAAAAAGAGGAATTAAAGTTTTCAAAAGCAACGTCCTGGAATGAGAGTTAACAGAACTATTCCAACATGCAGCCACCTTGAGCGGCGCAATCTAGAATAATTTTTCTCATTCAGAAAAAAAAAAAAGAAAGATGTATAAAGAACAAAAAATGTACTTTTTTTTGCACCCTAAGGTACAAATAATCTCCTTTTCGAGGTAAGCCAATGTAACTGTTAAGCTTCATTCTTGTTCTTTTATAATTTCCTGTGTACATGCACCTCTTATCGCCCCCTGCTGGCTGCTACCAGTGATCACTTGGTCCTCAGAGTTTTTTCATACAGACAGCTCTTCAGACTTTTACACAATATTTGAAGCAACTACTCATGCTTGGTTTAATATAGTGTTTAGATAGCATCTTCCTCTGCTTCTTTCCTGACGTGACGGTTAGTAAAACGCAGTTAAATGTGTCCACTTCTGGTTGGGAGCACCTGCGACTGATTTAGTCTAGTTTCCTGTACCAAACCAAACGTACGTTACGAGCAGCACCCCTAGCACAAACTTACCTTTTAGGTATTTGTGGAGGATGTACTGTAGGCCGTAAAAGACGGTTTGGTCATATTTAACTTTTCTGCTTTTGGTCGGATCTGTCCTCTTCTCGCGGCACTCGAAGTAGGAGTACATTTTGCTCGTGTTGGGTGGGTACTGTTTGTAATGCGTGACCTGCCGGGACAAAACAGAACAGTTGCAGAAACGAACCAAACTGAACAAACTGCTTCAAATAAAAGAGAATACATCATCAAAGTCCATGTACATAAAAGCTAAACATAAACACTCAGTTGCATTATGTTTTGAAAAGTTTTGCAACGTATGTCTTGCAGGAAAGTCCATATTTTGAAATAAGAGAAGTTTTGACCAAACAACCGACATATTACAAGTTTGTTTGACGAAATGTGAAAGATTTAGTAAAAAATTGTGAAGCTATTTCGTTTTTTTAATTTGAACTGCATAGAAATGTTGTTTTTTCTTATAATATGCTCACCAATTCTTTAAATCCACACCAAAAAGTCACAATCCAGGTAAGATACGTCAGACTTTCAACCACAAAGACACAATATTTGTTATTATACTTCTCTATTGTTCAAAAATGTGCATGAATTTCAACAGCGCGCTTCTTGTGTAATCTTCTAACTTATTGCAAAAGCCCCCCAGAAACAACCAAAGTTGCAAATATGAAGTGTGTGGCCAGAGTCAACAGTTTGCAACATGTCCAGGCGTGATTTAAGAATAAACTGGAGAAAAAGTGTTCTCAGAAAACAGGAGATACAGTCCGAGTTGTAGCCATGTGGCCGTCTATTAAATCCCATACGAGTTCAGTGCACGCTGGGGCCTTTAAGGATTTAACCCTCGTCACAGCAGCACATAATTCATTAATGTGGTGGCACTGGGCTTGTAGACTGGGAAAAAACTGCACCAATCAATTGTTGCCTGTTAGTTTGCCCTTTAACCTTCCATTAATAGCTGGCATGCAGTCGTATAAGGAAAAGAATAAACGTTGCACTTGACGGACACTATAAGACAACTCCTCCTCAGCTGGTTCTTGTGGTCAAGAGGAGATAAATGTCAATGAACTGCTCAGGTTCTTTGACCTGACCGTGTCCTTTCTCCAGGCTTTCAAAGACTCAAAATAGAGTCGAGTCACTCAACATGACACTGGGCTGAACCACGTGCGCTCACATTCTCTGCCGCGCATGCCAGTGTTTACACACAGACATCATTTTAAAAATTAAACCCAGAAACTTGCTGTTATTTGCCAAATCCCCCACTATTAAAAAGAATCCTATCAGTTAATTGCAAAGATATCAACAGGACATTTTATCTCTTATCATACATGACTTCATATTTATAGAATTATAATTTTTTCATAACTAAACTTGAACTCTGACCATTTATAATTTGAATTTTGTAGAATAGGACGACTCACGCAGCTACTTCAACCAGACAAGACTTGAATGATCCTTACCTCCTTCTCGTCATCTCTAAACTTGTTTAACTCGCCCTAATCTTGCACGAAAGTTTTAAATCGATGCATTTGTGGATTTTAAACATGACCTTCGACACTATATTCACAGCAGAGTCATTCTTTGAAGAGTAAGGCTGACACAAAAGTGAAAGTGGAGTGCTTAGAGTACGGCTGGGAGATATAAGCTCACAATAATATCTCAACACCTTTAGGAACGTTGCAGTAACAGATTAGATTAGCAGAGTGGGACTTTCAGTTATCAGGCTCCTCTTTGTCTTCATCTTCTCATCGCAACTACCCGTTTGTTTGTCCTGGTCTCTTTCCTGTCCCATCAAAGCCCAGCAGATCGAGGCTGATAGTCGCCCATCCAGAACCTGGTCCTGCCGGAGGTTACGTCCTGTTCACAGGAAGTTATTCTTTTCCACTGTCGCCACATTGCTGCTCAGGATGGTGGACTGCGACGAAGTGAAGATGTGACACAATCTGCTGGCTACCTGGGAAACCTTTTACTAAATGGGATTTAATTATGAATAGTAATAATGTGAATATATTGTATTAATTGACTGTCATTGGATATATTATTCAAACTAGATTTTTTTTTTGTGTGTGTGTGTGTAGCCCCCCTGAGGCAACTTTTGTTGTAAAACAAGAACTACAAATAAATTGAACTCAGTATTAATCAGTGTTCTAATACGTACATCACATCCCAAAGCACTTATTGCATAATCAAAAGTTAAGGCAGGGCGCTTTTATGATTCGGTTTTTAGAGCAAACGACTAATAATGTCTCAGTGTGGGAAAGCTTGTTTTGTTAACTTTCTGTTAACTTTTGAAAATAAGCAGATGGACATGTTCTGCACACGACTGGAAAGTGACATATTGATTAAATGAAGAAACAAGAGATACATAGAATAAAATATTGTTATGTCTAAATATAAAAATTTGAATTAGACCAGATATATTCATTTGTGTAATTTAATATAAGTTCCTGTCTACAATGCATCCGTTATTTATAGAAGCACTAAGACTACCGGCTGCACCACTTATTTATTTTACTGATTTAAATATATCCATTTCACTCAGCTACTGTAAATCTAATGGTGTGAATGTTTATGAAGCATTCTGTTGTCATCAACTTTCCTTCTGTACGTTTTCGGCATCTTTCTCGTTCCACAAGTTTTGTGCTATTTCAACAAATCAAAACGTTCAGCTCGTTCAGAAGGATTGGTGTAACTTTAGCTTTTAGAAACATTTAGCCTTTTCTGCTATCATATAAAATGAACCGAGCTCATTTTCCATCCTTCAGATCTTTAGATGCGTTTACAACCTTTTACTGCTCCTTTCACATTTTGTTCTGGTTCAGCTTCTTTCAGCTGCATTGTGCAAATTTAAGCTTTTTTTTCCCAGCTACATTCAGCTAATTCCACATTTGTGGCACAGATTTAAACTTTTTTTCAGCTTAATTCAGCCAAAAAAAAAAAAAAAAAAAAAGCTCACTCCACTTCCTTTTAGTAATTTAAGCTTCTTTCTGCCTTTTTTAGCTACTATTCGGCTTTTTCTTTTATTAGTGTGCAAATTTAAGATTTTTTTTTTTTTTTTTTGACAATCTCCACTTTTTGTGTCAATTTCTGCTTCTTTCAGCCTAATTGGGCACAATTGTGTTCTTTCCACTTTTTTTCTGGCAATTTAAGCTTCTTTCTGCCTTTGTAGCTATTATTCAGCTGTCTTTTGCAAATTTCCGCTTTTATCAAATAATATCCACTTTTTTTGTGCACATTTCTGGTTCTTTAAGCCTAACTGGGCACAATGGTGCTCTATCCAATTCCTTCTGGTAATTTGAGCTTCTTTCTGTCGTTTCAGCTATACTTTTCAGCCGTTTCTTGCTAATGTCAGTCTATTTTTTTTTAGCTAATTTACTAATTTTTGTGTTCATTTGCACTTATTTAAACAAAATTCAGCAAATATGTGTTCTTTTGGATTTCTTCTGCTAACTTAGGCTTGCTTTTTCATTTCAGCTACATTTCAGCATGTTTTTAGCTAATTTCAGCAAGTTCTTTAACAATAGGCATTCACGCTGCATTTTCACAAGAAATGCACTTTGTCTAGTTTTTACAGCCAATGATGTTATTAACATGGCAGTAACATGCTTTGCAAAGTATCTGTGTTGGTGTTTGATCAGTTTTATTAAGAGAAATAAAAATCATAATCATTTGAAAACTCTTGCCCTCCAGTGCCCTTTTTAACTACTTGTTCAGATAGTTTGACTTACAAGTCAGAATACTATTATGCAAATTGGGTCACGGTATAATGTTAAAAAAATGTGTGTAAACAATGACACCTCCACCTATTGGTCATATGATAAAAACGTGCCTCCGCCAACTTTCTGACTTTTGAATTTGCTGCATTTAAATCTTTGAAATCACAACAAGTCAGATCGGTAAGACTTCCCCCTTCCACAGGTTGATGTGCAGTCCTGCACGCAGAGGAGAAAGCTGCTTCTACAGAAGCACAACGCGTGGTACATTGATGAATGGACTAATTGTGCAAGAGCTCAAACTGATCCTAGCTGACTTAGTGTTGGGCCTACTGTTTTATTTACCTTTGGTATGACTCAACAAAATGTTTTACAGGACATTACTTTGGTCAACCGGGGGAATAAGGAGGAAACTATCTTGACCAAGCTAAAAACAAGAAATCTGATCAATTTCCTTAATGTGATCTGATCGACATCTGTTGAGCCTCTTGTGGACGTCGTTGTCCAGACACTGATAGAAGTAAAAACATATCTCACTATTGATAAAAACTAATTCAAATCAACCATCAGTAACAGGAAGGTAATTAGCAACAAAAAAAAATAAAATCCTGGCAAGTAACATTTTAGGGCTTTTTATAAAATAAATTACAAAAGAAACTGGGTATTCGATCACTGAAGAAGCAAGACTCATTTGCTGACAAAAAGAGAACTTGAAACTGAACACTTTTCACAGTATTAAAATTATTATAAACTATATGATCAAATAAAAAACAGGTCTTGCACTATAAAGTTTCTGTTTAGCATACCATACTGTACGCATGAAAACAGAATTATGAGCTCATCTGCATCAAATAATACAATGTAAATAAATTAAAGAACGATCTGTGTCCGTTTCTAAAAACACGTGCACCAGAAAAGGATAAACAACTCAAAAGTAGCAAAACTATATTCCTGCACTCTGTTAAAGTGACTAATGAATGATATATCTTATCATCCCACACAGCTGAAGAGAAAGCAAACAAGAAAGCAAGTTCTTTCCAAAGAAGTGAAACTAATTGTCCTGGTTTTAGTTAACAAAACAGAAACTAGTTTTTAAAAAAACCCTACAATTAAGACCAATGAACTAGATAAAAGGACAACTTGTGACGTTTGAGGCTAAATCAATTCTGTAGCACAACAACAGCAAAATGTCAAACATGAATTCTGCCCATGTAAACAAACTATGATAACCATCTAAGTTGGCAAACAAACTAGTTTTTAACAGTTCACGGCTGAAAGTCACGTTTGGAGCATGCTAAGTGTTTTTTATGTTTGAGATACATAACATCTGAGGTGCAGGATTCGCCTCAGCGAACAATTTGTCAATTATTTTACCTGGACGTCCTCCTTGATGCAACCTTGACTCGAACCTGCAGCCTTAGGTTTCCAATGCACTGACCACCAAACTAGGCTGTTGTTTAAATGGCTATTTATTGATTTAATACTATTTAAAGTTTAAATGATTAAATTAAATTATTAAGGGTACATATTGTATAACAAAGTCACGAAAACTCGTCAAGCAAGAAACCAAACCTGCCTTTTCAGCTCGGCGTTATGTTTTCATTGGGTGCATACCCGCATTTCAGAACTGGATATTAACATAAACAGAAAACCACTCGAATAAGCTCTTTCAAACTGCACTGTTTTTAAGAATATTTTTTAAACGTTTTAGTTTAAAGTGAGTACCTTTAAATTGCACCCATACACACACAAGTCCAAACCTCTAACTGTATTTTTATCATTAGGAAACTAACCAGAATTATGTTTTACTTACATAGTGTCATAATAATATAGTAATTTTAGTCCTATATTTATATATTTAGTCTTTTATTCATCAAGATGTAATACTGTTATACAATAGTCTGATTAAATTTCTTACTTGGTTAGTCTTTTTTTTTAACTTTAGTCTTTTAGTGCAAACATCAGCATCACTGAATATCCTGTCACATGACTGCTGCTCATGGTGACCACTTACTACGAGCAATAAAACATAACGAAGTGCGTCTGCTCTTTGTTGACATTGTAATTAACCGGACGTTAGTGCGTTTTACGGTAAAAGCCTCGAGACGACCCTTAAAAATGTTCCACGCGGGTCAATAATTGAAAGGGAAAGCTAAACAGTGGCTGTAATAAAGAGAAGCGCCTAGCTTGAACTTTTAAGTTTCAGTTTTGTTTTCTTGAAAGTGGCGCTGGCGAACGTTTCACAAAGCTAGAAACATCGACACTTTACCCACGTGCAGTTCGCCAGGTTATCCGTACAACACTTGCTAGCTAATATTAGCTTTTATTCTTATTACATCAAGCCTGCGTTTCCTCCACTGCGCTCGCTGTGAGCTAGCTAGCTAGCACGGCTAGCTGGTCAGTGACGATGAGAGCCGGTGGAGGACTGCCTGGCTCCGTTAAAACCAGCCGTTATCCCCGGTGAGAGCGCCTCACAGAGATGCTATGTGAAAATGGTACCCCGTCTTTGCTGTACCCTCCTCCTCCTTTAATTTGGCCTGCGGTGAACCCACGGAGATTACCGGTGTTACACCAGAGCACTCAGTCAGTGCGGTGGCCTTGGCTCATGATGAAACCACCTTGACTTTATCAATTTTCGCTCCCGCTTCACCCGAGCCTCCCCTCCCCGGCCGAGTCCACCGCGGTACCTTGTATGAATCGGTCGCTAACAGTATGTTGAAGTCCATGTCTCTGTGCTCCATCTTTCCTCCTCGCTGTAGTGAGAGTCGCAGCTGTCAGTGTTGCGTCGCGCTCCTTTCAGCCCGTAGCTCCAGTCTGATATTTAGGGGAAGGACGAGCGGACAAAATCGGGCGGGGAAAGAGGCGGGGATTTCGGTGGTATTCGGAAGCTCTCGGCCAGCCTTCGGCAATATGCAAAGATCGTGTATGTATATGAAGATGAATCACTTACAAAATAAAACAAAAGTCACTCACAAGCCCTGGGCAATAATCAAAGATTGTGTTTATATAGAAAGAGGAATCCCTCAATTAAAACCAGAGAACCTAAAATATGTATTTTTTTGTTTTATCTTCACTAGGCTTTAGAAAAAACAGGTCCAACGTGTTTTTGTGTACAATAACATCTAAACAGCACATGACTTAATCTAATTAAAATACTGAGCAAAAGGATTTACCAAAATTATATTAAAGAGTCACTTTGTTGCAATCTTTTTTAATGACCTTGAGCCTTGGTTTAGTTTACTTTTCTGAAGGTCATTCAATTATTTATTAGCGATTCCTTTACACCTTGCCCTTACAGAAGTATTAGTTGTTTTAAAACCTACTAATATTTACTTGTGATTCAAATACAAACACCATAACTCACAAACCTGCGCTGTGACATGACTGACACAAGAACACAATATTGCATTTTATTTTTAGGGCACTCAACTGATATGTCTGTATCATCACCAAAAAACAAAAATAAATATAAAGCTTGACAGGCATAAAAGTGTTTTCCCCTTAATGTTATTCTTAACCCAAATCTTAGCTAACAGTATGGAAATATATGCATCTTTAAGGTTCTGTGCCAAGATTTGCTGGATTTTTGTTCATGAGCTGTTGATTGGATTTTTATACCTTTTCTTGATTCTTTCCAGTTCTCGATCACGTTTTTCCGTTTTTTTGTTAAAGAACATGCTGTGCTGAGTGAAATATGGCAAGTTTTTAGCTTCTAGAGCGGATAAAAGCCAAATATTTGTGCAAAAACTACTTATATAACATAATAAATGCTGTTGTGACAATCCACTAAATTCAATATTTGGGAACAAATAAAAAATTGACAAAAATATATAAAACATACGTCTTTGCGATATTGACTTTTAGATGCAGGCTTGGTGTCAGGTTTGTTTACACGGACTAAAAAGAACTGTGTGAAGAAAAGTAGACAAAAGTCCAAACTAACACTTTATAACAGCTTCAGAAATTTGGGAGAAATATGATTTGATTCAGCTTTTAAATATTACAGGAAAATAATTAAAGACAATGTAAAAGAAAAAAAAATCAGATTATTTTTTTCTTACATTAAGAGAAATATTGTCAAAATCCCTTCAAGTATCTCAAGTTTTAATAATAACAAAATAAATATCCTGACGTAAAAAGCATTGTCCTCCTTCATATCAATCCTAAAACAAATAATAGAAACAAGAGTCAAGACATTTATTTAATTCAAAATAATTTATCAGCTCAGTTCATTCTTGAAAAAATGAAATGACACGGCAACAGAAACCGTTGTGTGCAGTTCCCAATATCACCACACGGGGGCAGTGTTCACCCCTTATAGAAGAACAGCCAGGAAAACGTTTGATCTTATGCAATTAAAAATGCAACACCTTATTCACAAAAACGCAAAACGGAAGTTGCTGACAAGCAGTTAATTGCCGTTGCCATCATATTTCAGAAGCTACCAAATAAAATAAACAAAATGAAGCATCAACACTATGTCTAACAACATTAACTAATTTGTGAAACTTTTGATGGACAGATAATACTGAAGAATAAGGCTGCAGGTCCAGATGGTGTCAGTCCCAGAGTCCTGAAGGTCTGTGCAGAGCAGCTCTTTGGGGTTCTGCAGCACCTCTTCAACCTTAGCCTGACCCAGGAGAAGGTTCCAGTGTTGTGGAAAACCTTTTGCCTTGTTCCAGTACCAAAGAAAACTCATCCATCAGTCCTCAATGACCTGTTGCCCTGACATCCAACATCATGAAGGTCCTAGAGAGACTTCTGTTGACCCACCTGACAAAACAAGCACATATCAGGACCCACTGCAGTTTGCTTATCAGCGTGGACTTGGAGTTGAAGATGCCATCATACACCTGCTTCAGCAAACTCACTGTCATGTAGAAAAGGCAGACAGCACTGTGAGAGTCATGTTCTTTGATTTCTCCAGTGCATTTAACACAATCCAGCCTGATTTGCTTTGTCAGAAACTCCAGAAGACTCAGGTGGAGGCCTCAACAATCGCCTGGATCAAAGACTACCTGACGGACAGACCACAGTTTGTGAGACTGAAGGGTTATGTGTCTAACCAGGTGGTCAGTAGCTCAGGAGCACCACAGGGGACTGTACTCTCACCACTCCTTTTCACTCTGTACACCTCAGATTTCCAGTACAAAACAGACTCCTGTCATCTGCAGAAATATTCAGATGACTGCAGTGGTCGGGTGTATCAGAGATGGACAGGAAGCAGAGTACAGGGAACTGGTGGACCTCTTTGTGGCATGGTGTGGAAACAATCATCTCATTTTGAACGTGAACAAAACAAAGGAGATGATTGTAGATTTCAGGAGAATCAGGAACAGATCCAACCCTATTTCCATCATGGGAGAAGAAGTGGAGGTGGTGGAGAAGTATAAATATCTTGGAGTTCACCTGGACAATAGACTGGACTGGAGATGCAACAGTGAAGCCGTCTACAAGAAGGGACAGAGCAGACTGTACTTCTTGAGGAAGCTGAAGTCCTTCAGTGTTTGTAGCAAGATGTTGCATATCTTCTATAAGTCTGTTGTAGAGAGCACTATCTGTTCTGCCATCATCTGCTGGGGGAGCAGCACCAGATCAAGTGACTTAAAAAAGATCAACAAGCTCATAAAGAATGCTGGCTCAGTTCTGGGGACTCCTCTAGAACCTTTGATGATTGTACAAAGAAGGATTCTTCATAAAGTGAAGAACATTATGGAGAACCCTCAGCATCCTCTTCATCAGACTGTCATACAACAACAAAGTGTCTTCAGTCAGAGGCTTCTTCAAATCCGTTGTAGGACAGACGCTACAAGAGATCCTTCCTGCCCACAGCCATCATCATCCATAACAACTCTTTAATGAAGCCAGGATGATGAGTTACAGCATTTAGTTTCCCTCTGGGATTAATAAAGTATTTTTTAATTGAATTGAATTGAATAAGCTGCTGAAGGTGAAGCTGCCAGTGACGGGGCTTTTTAATGTCAGGCAAGGAGGTGGAATGGTAGTGATACGGGCTGCTCCTTTCAAGCTTGAATGGTTTCATTCATCATATGCAGAATTACTAATTCAAACACACTGTCACAAGATGAGAAAAACTAAATAGTACAAACAGTGTAAAGGTTAAATAAAAGCATTTAACACTTCTTATGAGGTAAACAGGTAGAAGATGACGACTTGAAGAGGCATTCTGCAGACAATAAAGGGTAAAGTCTGACTTTTCTTCCCCCTCACACATCCGAGGGCCTCAGACATGACTGGATGATGACAGCCCTTCCACAGCTGATAGATCTTGTTGTGAACACTGAGTCCTCATTTGGGTTTACAGCCTTGACACACCCTGCAGGCAAAAGCTGCTGACTCAGCATGGGCTGAGCAACAGATAAAAAAAAAAGTGGCACACTCATAATGGGGAAAAGACGCTTTATTTTTGAGGGATTTTTATATTTAGGGGAGAAAAAAACTTAAAATGAGCCATCGTGCATGACTAATTTGTTGATAACTAATGAGCATTCTAAGCTTTTAGTGTAATTACCAAATTATTTACAATCCCAACGTTACAGAAAGATCTATTATTTATGAAGATCAGGCCTTTTTGAGTATTTATAGAAAAAGCAGGTTCCAGATGTGACACACAGCTGTGAAGTTCCATCCTCCAGCCGGGGCGGTGAGACATTCCAACCCGCCGGATGGACGCCTTCCCCGGCCAATGGCAGCGATCCTCCCCGGCCCTCTGGTCCCGGAGGAGGGAGGTGTTATTCACTCTGGAGCGGCGTGCCATTTCCGCAATGCAATAAGTTTGAAAGGAGGAAGTGGGCGTTCGTTTTAAATAGTTGCTGCAGTTTTCAGTTTTTCACATCCCTAAAGCAAGCAGAAAAAAAAAGAGTTGCGTTTCGGTCACATGATGAAGTCAAAGCTGGACGGAAACCAGGCGCAAGGTGCTGCGAGTTCAATGAAACACGTTGGTCTCTAACCGAGGTCAAAACAAAGGGATACTTTTTACAAGAAATGCTGAAACTGAAGCAGAAGTTTGACCTGCAGGACGACGTGGTGTTTGACATCCTCAGGAAAGAGGCGACCGTCTGCAGAGTGAAAGGTGATGCGTTCAGGTGCTCACGGAGCAAGTTTCTATAATGAACGGCTTACTGAGTCAAAAAGCGGAGGTTTTACAGGTTATTTTGTATTTAGGAAGAAGTCACTCAACTATTATCCAAAAAGATCGTTTATCTGGCAGTGTGGGACACTTTTAGCTTCCGAGAAATCTGAATTTCTGTGATTTATTTGTGCTAGTATTACAAGTAACCAGCAGATGGCGCTGTTTCACCACTTTACATTTTCTTAGGCTTAAACGTGCACTTGCTAAATAGTGAGATCATTCTAAAAAGTAACAACCAATGATAATAATAAGTAGTGGAACCAGCAGTCAACATTTAATTATATTTTTCAAATATGTTAGAACACAATAAAAAATTAAACCGTGGAAAGAGAACAATCGTCATGTTTTTCATTCAACCTTTATTTACACAGGTTAGTCTCAATGAGTCACGAGGACTCATTTACAATAGAGACCTGTTTTAAACAAAAACCACAGACGAGGTGCACAATAACAAACAGTCATATAAAATGAAAAGTAAATAGAAGAAGTGATATAAAACTAAATAAAAAAATGCTACGTTATAAAATGGTGTAAAATACTAAAAACTGGAACATGCCTGCATTGATTTTTGCACTGAATTTAACAGTAGTTTAAAATCCCTTAGAGAGGTCAAAGTCGAGAGCTTCAGATCTTTTTGCAAGTTGTTCCAGGTTACACAAGTGGAGAAGGAGAAGTCCCTTTTTTCCAATTCGGTCCGCACTGAGGGGACACGCAGGTAATAATGTCTTGAGAGTGCACGCTGTAGCTGCACTCACACAGTGACATGTAGCAGGAGATATACAGTACAAAGGGAACAGACCAAGAAAGGAGTGATTTAAAGATAAAAATGTACCAGTGTGAGTGTCTACATGAAGCTGATGATCAGCTGACCATTGAATACAGGGTGCAGTGATGGGTGCAGTAGTTACAGCCAGTTATGACTCTTAGTGCACCGTGACAGACAGCATCCAACATCTGCAGAGTGCTTGCAGGAGCATTCATGTAAATAATGTCACTGTAGGCAATGGACGGAACGAAAGTCGCAGTTACAAGGCGTTTCCTAGCATTCAGAGTAAGACGGGATCTATTTCTGGTAAAAGAAAAAAAAAACAATATAACTTTCAGTGTCTTTACCAAGTTTTTGACATGAGGCTTAAAAGAGAGATGTGCATCAACCAAGGTTCCCAAGTATTTGTAAGAGTACACAAATTCAATAAGAAAGGAAGGAAGGACTGCTGGTACCGACTTCCTGTTTGAAAGCATTCTTTTGGTTTTATCAGCATTTAGCACAAGTTTGAGATGGAACAAATCTGACTGGACGGTGTTGAATGCAGACTGTAAAAGCTGGAAAACTTTAGCAACTGTTTTAGCTCGACAATAAACAACTGTGTTGTCGGCATAGAAATGTAAGGATGCAACAGGGATGTTCTGACCTACAGTGCATTACTTATGTAAATTATGAAGAGAGTGGGTCCTAAGACTGAGCCTTGCGGTACACCATTTATGTGGTTTTGTGCATTTATGATAAAATGTTAAGGGTACGCTGCTTTTTGGAGGTTTCTATGAATATCTTTTGTGTCCAGAATACTCTGAAGCTGTGGACACTCGTATCCTGAATGCTGAAAGCGATGGCAGCATCCTTTACTCTTGGAAGGTAATTTATGAACCAGTGGATACGAATATTCTTATTTACAATAATTACATCAAACTGGTAAACATCCTGCAGGAGTATCATATATATATATTTTTTGTTTGTTTGTTAGCAAAATATCTCATGAATCACTGGATGGAATTTAATGGAATTTTCAAGAAGTGATTGAGTCAATCGATCAACTCGATTCAAGATGGCCGCTACTGTTAATAAACGCTATAAAAACAGTAACGAAAAGGGTTGTAAAATAGCCAACTGTGCACAGATTGAGCTAAAACTTAGTGTGGTAGGAGCTGACAGTAATTTCTAACACATACTCTGAGCTCTAAGAGATCGTGCAAGATCTTGTGATGCCACCTGCATCTGTGCCAAACGTTATTTCTAAAGTTAAACCAAAAAGACTAAAACTCCACCATTTTTTCACGTGAAATATTTACATGCAGCTACTTGCTTTCCCAGTTTTTGAAATGGTGAGTGATGCCGTTTTCTGATCCGTCTTTATGCTAAAGCCACAAGATTAAATACTTCTTTCATTTTGGCTACAATCAGCTTGACAAATTTTTGGAATCCTTACAAGACTAAATAAAATAATAAAAGGGAAATTCTGAGTGTTTGACTCTACATAAATGTTTAAAATGATGGAGCTTTGGGAGGTTAAAGAGTGTGCAAGACTGAAAAAAAAACAGTTTTTTTTTTAACCAATCCCAGGCTATACTGGACTTTTCAGACACGAGCTTTAATTTTCAAACCTTCTGAGCTGAAGAATGTGGTTTGAAGTAAGGAATGTCTAATAAAGAGGTCAAACACGTCTACCTGCACACATCGATTCAGTATTTCCTTTAAATCTATCAGGATCACCTGCCACGATAATCTGATTGATGCTGACTTCTTTAACGTCTAACAGGGATCAACGGGCACCACCAGGATCGGGAAATATGACTCGAACACCAAACAGAACAAGGTATCGTGTGTCTTTAATGCTCCTTTAGGTCTGCAGCTTTGTGTTCGGCTGCATCTCCACACCCTCACTCCTTTGCGTTTCCCCCCATAGCTCCTCTACACGTTCGACAAGCAGGTGTGTGTCAGCAGCTGCTCCCTGAACAAGGAGGAGACGCTGTTAGGTGAGCCTCTGTCGTGTAAAAATAAACGTGGTTGTTGACCCCGAGTCACGTTTAAACGTCTGGAGGAGTTCAGCGGTACACCCGAGACCAAAAGCTTTGAGAATGGCACGAAAATTAGTCGTTAATGTTCTTAACAGGTGAGAGCTGATGAGGACCAGGCTGGAGAGCACTCTGCCATGCTGAACGAGTCAGAACAGCAGGCTGGAGGTTTTAAACGGAGCCTGGTGCTAGCTCAAACACTGACTGAAAGCTAAAGGAAGCAGAATACAAGCTAAACATCCTGGCAGCAAAAATGCTAGCTAAGAGTTGAATTGATTAAGACTAATAATTAAGCTAATAATTAAAATTTAACAAAAAAAGAAAGAAAATAAAAACACTAGCTAAAAGCTACAAGTCACAAAAAGCAAGTTAAAAACCCACAGTAGAATAACCATCTAAAAGCTAAATATACATAAATGTTAAGTTTAAAGCTAAAAGCAGCAAAACAGTAGATATAAACTAAAAGTAATAAAAGGCTAGATAAAAAATAATAGTAAAAGCAAAAGATTAGCTAAAAACTGAGTAGCAAAAGGCTAACTAAGAGTATCACAAGGCTAGCTGCTTGTGCTATTTATAAAGTGTAGCTAAAAGTAGGAAAATGCTATGTAAAAGTAGCTGAACTGTAAATAAAAGCTAAAACTAGGAAAAGCATTCTAAAATAGTAGAGCATGGGCTAAAAGTGGCAAAAGGTTAGCACATTTTAAAAGTAACTGTAGTTAAAAGCTAAAAGTAGCATAAAAAGACAAAAATAAACAGAGTATGCTCAGGAGAGTTTAAAGAAAACAGTCTTTGAATAATTTGAGATCTTATTGTATTTCTGTGTAGAGAAGAGATGACAATAAAGTTAAGTGTTTTGAAAAGTGCAAACGCTACAAAAATCAAAACACCCATATTCTGAACGAGCTGAACGTTTTGATATACAAACGGCTAAAACAGGACAGAATATGCAAAAGGGTTAAAAATCTGGAAAACAAATTCTGAGTCAGCATCTATGCAATAAAAGCTGCTAAAACTTGTGAAGTGCTTGTAATTATATGTTAGTTACCATAAAAATAAACTAGAGAAATTGCATTTCCTGCAAAAATCCAGTTGTGAATGCTTATTGCTGAAGAACTTGCTGAAAAACAGCTAAATGAGCTAAAAACATGCTGAAATGTAGCTAAAATGGAAGAAGCCCATTTGCAAAATAAAGTACACATAGTTGCTGAATTTGGTTTCAATAAGCAGAAATGAGCACAAAAATGTGTAAATTAGCTTTAAAAAGCTGAAATTAGCAAGAAATAGCTGAAAGGTAGCTGAAAAGCAGAAAGAAGCTTAAACTACCAGAAGGAAGTGGAGAGAGCACAATTGTGCCCAATTAAGCTGAAAGAAGCATCAGTGTGCACAAAAAACTGTAAATTATTTGAAAAAAAGAGGAAATTAAAAAACAATAAAACTCAGCTGAATAATAGCTAAATAAAGCAGAAAGAAGCTTAAACTACCAAAAGGAAGTGGAGAGAGCACAACTGTGTCCAATAAGGCTGAAAGAAGAAGAAATGAGCACAAAAACATATAATTTATTTGAAAAAAGCAGAAATTTGCAAAAAACAAACTGCTGAATAGTAGCTAAAAAAGCAGAAAGAAGCTTAAATTACCAGAATGAAGTAGAGAGCACGTTGTTGCTGAATTAGGCTAAAAAAAGTTTCAATGAGGGCAAAAATTGTGGAATTAGCTGAAAAAGCTCAAATTAGCATAAAACAGCTAAATTGTAGCTGAAATAGCAGAAATAGTTGAAACTTGCAGAAATAAGCTGATAGGAACATAAGAAGCTGAAATTATCAGAAAGAAGTTAGAAGAAGCACAAAAATGTTGTAGTTAGCAGAAAGAATCTGAAAGGAGCACAAAACAGCTGAAAAAACAGCTAAAAGTTGCTAATGTTTTATTTTTTCTAATTTGCACAAGGAAGCTGAAAAAAGCTCAACCGGAACCAAATGTGGAAGGATCAGTTCAAAACAGATTTAAAGATATGAAGGATGTAAAATGAGCTCAATTCATTTTCTATATTTAAAAACATGGCAGAAAAGGCTAAATATTTCAAAAAAGCTAAAGCTGCACCAATACCCAAAGTTATAGCAGGATTGTCCTGAACGAGCTGAACATTTTTGATTTATTATTTGTTGAAATAGCACAAAACTTGTGGAATGAGAAATATGCTGAAAAACTTACGGAATAGTTGAAAGAAACCCGGAATAATAAATATAAACAGGATCACAATAGTGTGAATGTTTAATAAGCATTCACACTATTCCAAAAACAAACTCGAAGTAGCAAGCTTGGTGAAAACCAATACTTGTGTCATTTTCCAAACTTTATGTCACAAGTGCAGATTTGTGACCTTGCAACAGCTGCAAGCTGACCAGTAGATGGCGCTGTTTGACCACTTTATCTTTGACATTATAAAATATTTTTAGCTCGTATGAAACTATAAGTCTTGATGTTTACAGCTGTCAGCCTGGCGCAAAACACCGGAGGACAGGAGCGTCTCAAACCACGTAATGTCCAAGATCTTTTTCTCTTCAAGCCATTTTTAATTGAAACTTCATGCACGGGTTTTCTTTCAATTCCTGTCTCCATCCTGTCTGTGTGCAGTATCAAAGTGTCTCACTCTCCTGATTGAGATCCATCCCATAAAGGACACTCAGGTCCTGAAGGCGGTGGACTGCAGGGTCAAAGTGCAGGTAGAGTTTTGCCGTTTGTGACGTTTTGCAGCTTTTTTCAGATTTCTCTGCATTAAAAATCCGAGCTCAAATGTTATGTGTGCGCAGTCAGTCAAAGTTTGTTAAAATTCATTCAAATGTTGCTAAAAAGCCTTTTTACGTATGTCTTGAAGTCAGTTTTATACAAGAACATGTTTAATTTTAACCTTTGCGCAAACATTTTGACAAATCGCTTGAAAACAGCAGCATTACTCAGGCTTTTTTTTCCTTTACAGATTATTTTGTCGTTTTATTTTACAGAACCTTTTAAAGAGAGAAAAATCCGCTCTTTTTGCTCTTTGATGCCAGAGCTTTGGTCTGTGTGAAGCTGTTGAGTCTCAGCAGGAGGCCGCTCTCTGGCCAAACGTGGGACTTTACTCCAGACAAAGCAGCAGTGTTTTATCTGCTACTTTTCCAAATGCTTTTTTTTTTTAATCAACAAATGCCAGGAATTTAAATATCTGCTGTGCGCTTGGACCCAGATATTTTCTGCTTTTGCAATGTTTTTTTTTCCTTTTCATTTATCTCTTTCTGTTTGACGTTAGAAGCAGCTCATTTATGGGTGTTTCTGTTTTATTCATATATTTATTTTCTAGTTTCTTCATCAAGAAACTGACAAGAGATCAGTGCTGGAGAGCCATTTGCTGCTGCTGACTGAAGATGGATGTAAGTTTTTTTTTATCTGCCACTCCTGAAGGGGAAGGGAGTGTTTTTGCTCATGTTTGTGTGTGTCTTAGCAAAATATGTAATATTTATTTATTTATTATTATTTTTATTATTTTACTTTACCGTAACCTTTATTTTACCAGGGGAAAAAAAAAAACCCATTGAGTTTAAAAATCTATTTTTCAAGGAAGTCCTGGCCAAGAGGCAGCAACAAATACAAGACAAAAAAATTACACAGTTAAAAGAAAACGTCAAGCTATAAAAAACATGTACTATAAAACAAGCTAGCTATAAAAACAGGTACATTTCATTGTATTGGCCTCAATAACTTTGAGTTTGGATGTAAAATAACTGAATGAGATGAATTCAGTCAATCTCAGAGTTTCTTATAGCAAGTTCCAAGAAGAGGGAGCAGCGTGAACGAAAGCCTTTTTACCCAATTCAGTCCGAGCAAAAGGGACAGAAAGAAGCAGCAAATCATGTGAACGAAAAGTAGAAGAGTCCACATTTCTCAGTGCAATTGCAGTACAAATATAGGCCGGTAGGAGTCCAAGCATAGCCTTCTACGGGTAAATAGAAGTTAACCAATGGGAGCTCCTTCGGGCAGCCAGGCCATCCCACCCGTGAATATAAATCACAATAGTGTGTTGACATTTTGCAGTTTGTAATGAACCTCAGAGAAGAGAGGTAGACAGAGTAAGACATTGTGAGGAAGCAATCGTATACAAAATATCTCACATAAAAGTTGCAGAGACAAGCCGCTTTTTAGCAGTATATGAAAAACACAACTTATTTCAAAAATAAAAACCCACCTTTAATTTGAGCCTTTTCACAAGATTTTCCACATGGGGTTTGAAAGTGAGGGAATCATCAATCAAAATGCCCAAATATTTGTATGTGTGAACTACCTCTATTTTATTTCCACTGCAAGAGAACACAGAGGGGATCTTTTGTGGACCTCTGGATCTGGAAAAGTACATCCGTTTAGTTTTATCTGTATTAAGGACATTTTAATTTTAACAAAGAGCATTGGATAGCAGCAAATCTTTTTGTAATAGTTCAATAGCTTGAGTAGGAGTGGATCCAGTGCAATAAATAAATGGACTGTATTTATATAGCACCTTTCTATTTTTCTTTCGTTTTTTTAATTTACCCTTTATTTATCCAGGTAGTCTCATTGAGCCACGATAACTCATTTTCAATAGAGACCTGTTTAGGGTGGGGGTTAAGGGCCTTGCTCAGGGGCCCAGAGTTATCAAGATGCTCAAAGCTCTTTACACTACAATCTGTGTCCTCATTTACTCATTCATACAGCACTCTGCTAGATCTCTACAAAGCTAATTGAACAAATCGTTCTAAAGAGACTAATCAGTGCTTTAGACCACATTCACACAAGAATGCAAGAACAGAGGGGACAAGAGTGGGTTTCTTAATCAGAGGCTGGACAGCTGCATGTTTAACATTTCCAGGGTAGTAGCTGAGAGTCATCCTCAACACATTTGCGTGGTAATATTGCACATAATATCATTTGCATTGACCAAAATGGCTATAAGTTTGCATTTTCACATCATAAAATGATTTTAGCGTAAGATTTTGGCATCAAATGTGGCGTGCAATAAGCGTCAGGGACAATGCCAGGCTTTTAATTGTGTTTTATGTGTTTCTGCTGGCTGAGAAGGCTGAAGCATAAATAATTAACCATATTTGTGTTTCAGATGTGGATCTGTACCACGTGCTGCTGTGCAAACAGGAAGGGTATAGAGTGGTGAGTTATTTCTGGGCATCGCGAAGAGCACATGTCCAGTAATTAGGAAGTAAAATAGTTGGGAGGGTATTTTCATAACCTCAGTGTAAAGATGGTTTCAGCCTCATCCTCTGTTTCCTGAGTGAGTTATCCTCCCGAGCAGCTTCGCATTAAAAATTCAGTGTGTCCGCGAGGCTGAATCTAAATGTGTCTGTGTGAGCCAGGTGATGGCAAATCCTGAGCGTTTGTCCAAAACAGCCGAGAGGATCGTGGAGGATTTCTGCTGGGCCCAGTGGGACGGACACGCGCAGAGACTCTACTACCTCACGCTCAAGGTAGCTGCATACAAATCAGCCGAGCAGGGCAGGCGTTCGTGTCCGCTCACACTGATGTGGCTGTAAATGGCAGGGTTAACGCCGCACGTGGGAAATGTCTCTCGCAGGACAAGTTCCTGCTGCGGTGTGTTCAGTTTCACTCCAACCATAACTTTGAGACTGCGGTGAGTCAACTTAATGCCTTACTGTATGGATTACTGTGATAATCAGTCTTTTTTTTTTTTGGTAAAATTGTGTGTTGTTGTCCAAACAGTTGGAGCTGGCTTTAGCTTTGCCTGCCAATTCTTTCCACGCCGTCAAGTAAGCCAATCAACAATACCAGAGTACAAAAACGATCCATATTCTCTAAGTTGAAATGACCTCAAGTGCTTTCTTTTATCTGTTTAATTTACAGTTATGGGAAAATAACATCCACAATCTTTCATCTCTATGGTTTTACATATCGGGACCTAATAAAAATGATCTGATTTTATCAGGCTCTACAATTATTCTTGTCAAACCTCAAGAGAACAAAAAAAAAAAAATAAAAAAAAAATTAATAAACACAACAGATAGCCATTTTAAATTTCTTCCACTTGTGAATAATCTTTCTGAGGAGTGATGAACTCCAAATTATTTGGAAAGGATCTAGGGGTGTCAAACTCAGTTACCAAAAGGAGCCAAAATTTAAAAACTTTGCCTGAGGCACGAGCCACTTTCAGCTGATACATTAAGTCGAGTCAGGTACCTGATATCTTTTCTTGGTTGCAGGTTCATGAACAAGAGTTTGATCTGTCATTTGACATTCTGTTGCTCTGTCCACATCAGAATCAATAATGACAGAATGATCCAACCATCTTTCTAGCTTCAAAGTTAGCCAGCTGCCAAGAGAAGTCTACACTAAATGATGTATTTATCAGTTGTTTTAAAGAAAAAATGAGAAGATATACAATATTTTATATTTAAATTATCATCTTGGGGGGACCAGATTTGGCCCGTGGCTCTTGAGTTTGACATAAGTAATTGCTGCTGTCTTTCCATCCTGGCATTGTGTTAACGCACCGTATGCTCCAGATCCCTGCATTTGCTTCATTCCCCTTTAAATTAAACAGCTCTTGTGTTTCTTCTTTATCAATTTAGGTTTATTTTTGTTGACTAAATGTAGACCCTGGTAAAGACCAAAGCATTTTTTATTATGTTCCGATATCTAAAACCTTCAAATTAACAAAAAGGCTAACTTTATCTTTCCTATGACTGTACTGTATGTACAACCACCATATATTTTGCATTTATCTCTGTCCAACAGATTTGTAAATCTGGGTTTTGACCACTATAAGGTTGAAGAACCGGAGACTGAACCTGTAAGGATGCAGGTGTTCACAAACCCAATCGGTAACACCAACAGTAATCTGGTCACACTTATTTTATCTTGATTAAAAAAAGGAGTTATACTGAGTTTGTACCGTTTGTTTGTTTTTGTATTTGCAAAAAAAAAAAGAGGGTAAGTCTCAGTCGACAAATGATTCTATGATTTTTTTTTCCCTGCAATCAATCGAACACAAAGACAGCAGAATGTAAATTTGATCACGGAAGATTGGAAAGTTGTTAATGTCGGTGTAATTTAAACTTTACATGATTCACGGGATAAGTTTATTGTTACATTTGTCATTTGTTTTGTAAAAACATAAAAAGTAAAAGTTATGGAACAAACAACATGACAATATAATAATCAATTATTTACTGTGGACAGTGATCCAATATTACATACCTATGATGGTAAAAGTACAAAATCCTCAATAATTAGTAGAAAAAAAGTGGTTTTTTTTTTTTTTCAGATTAAGAGACTGTAACAGCCCCTGCTTTTCTGCAAATAGATAAATTATGCCACAGTAGACTTATGTCACATTTGAGCCCAAAAAGGTTGTCAAACAATGAATTTCAAAATAAAAAAGGAACATATGCGTTATGGCCTGAGGAAAAGCCAGGACAAGGGGCAATAACATAAATGGGGGCTCGTCCGGGATTGCAATAAATATCTCGGATGAGCCCCTATTAATGTTACCTCCCCTTTTCCTGGCTGAGCCGGGTCGTAACAATATGTGAAAATCTGAATCCTAGAAGAAGCAAACCTTGAGTCTATAAGTCCTACAACAAATTGTTTGATTAAACACTCCTGCATGGATAAATCAGAGTTAAAAAGGTTTTGTAGAAAAAAAAAAGAATTAAATCCTTGGAAACATATTTACAGGAATGATTATTAGTAAGAAACTTTTAGCTGCAGACAATACTGCAGAAAGATTTTACATCAGATACAAGGTTTGCCACAAATAAGCAAGATGGATATGATGTACAATGGATGTAATAATGGATAATTGTCCTTATATAATGAGTCAAATACTATCTGTAGTTTGGTGATTTGAAGACAAAGATGAGCATGCTTTGTGATCCACAATGTGCAATAAATTTGGAGTAATTTATTTCTTTAATTTTTGCTTTAAGCAAGGTAGACACATTTAAATTCTGTAACTTTTAGGAAATCAGACATATCTCAGGCTTAGAACAAATTCATGAAAAGGTTAAGAGTTTTAGCCTTAAGTTGTTCATTGTAGTTCATGTGTAAACACGCTGGTTCATCCCTTGAGTTATGTGCTACTTTCATTCTTCTGAAAATAGTCGGGTAGCTTTCAAAATCTAATGGAAAACTTTAAAAGAGTGTCAAAAATCTCTAATAATCTATTGATTAAGATAATTTTTTTTAAAAGAGTCAACAAAGTCTGTCTGCTTACAAGCAAAATATAAAGAAATAAATGGTGAAGATGTATAATTTTAAAAGTGCAGTCTTATGTGTGACAATAAAGTCTTTACTATTGGATGTATACATTTAAATTGTTGACTGAGTCTTTGATTTAAAGAATCAAGCACAAAAACTCCTAATGACAGCTCGGTCTCATACAAACTTCTGTAATGTTTGTTACCAATAAGTAAACAATTATTTCAATTATACCTAATTAATATTGATTTAGAAGATTAATAATTTGTTGTTTGATCTCTAACATTTGTATGTTTTGGTTTAACTTTAGGAAGCCTGTGTGTTTGCTACAGCCAGCCGCTAAAAGACAAACAGGAGCTGATCTACACCTTGGTTTTACTTCATAAAGGTGTGTTTCTCTTATCTTTATTATAGACCGTCTTAAAAAGCAGTCAATCATGTTACTGGCCATGATTGTGTGTTCAACATCTGTTAGCAAAATATCTGAAGTGGACATGTTTTATAAGAACTATCAGATGTTAATCAATATGTGGATTCAGCCAATTAAAGATGGCCAATAGACATTAGCCAATACAAAAGTGGCTGTAGGTCAGTCAGTTTCAAAGTTCTTGAGCTAATATTTGGTGTGGTAGTAGCTGACAGTCATCCCTAACACATACTCAGAGAGCTAACAGATCATGTATTATTTTTGTTGAAATCTTTAGCATGCAATTGTTGCATTCCTGAACAGACATGTCTTTCACTTGGCAACTTTTCCTCCCCAGTTCCTTTATTAATTTTTTTACACGGAGCATTTTCTCCACTTGCGTGCTTTCCTGTCTAACCATCAGCTGCCGTCTCCAGCCACACACGCAGATGAATGACAACACTCACTCACCTTCAACCTCTCAGCAGTGACACCCAGCATATCATCATCCAGGAAAACAGATCCAAAAAAAAAAAAAAAAAAAAAACACCAAAAGAAAAAAAAAAATAATTAAATTAATT